TTATGTCCTACTGTTCAAGGAAAGATCTCCCATTCTAACCTCTCCCGATAGCTCACTGAAGCGATTCTGCAGAGATAATGAGGCCCTATGAACCAACAGGGGTTCAATGTGACCTACGAAAATTCACAATGTACTTAACTGACCCTATTTGTCTTGTCCAGCAAATAAAACCTGTTAATAGTGCTTCCAAATGTGTTGTTACTCAGCACCTCCAGAAATCGGTCACCTAGAAACATATATATAGCTTGATGGATGGCAGTCCTCTCCAGGACCCCAATGAAAGTCTGATGCATGACCTTTTGTTCCCTGAAGTTACATTCTCATTGTACACCTGCAGGAGTGGAAGTTATCTTTCTGTTTTAAAAGCAGATGTAGGGGGAGGGTATAGGTCAGTGGCAGAGTGCATGCTTAGCATGCAAGAGGTCCTGGGTTCAATCCCCAGTACTTCCCTTAAATAAATAAACAACCTAATTACCCCCTCAAAAAATAAATGATTAAATAAATAAATAAATAAAAATAAATTTTTTTAAAAAGCAGATGTATATTCTTGAAGTAGAAGACTTAAGGAGTCTTTCTTTTCAGGCTCAATTTTAGGGAAGAAAAAAAAACAACATTTGATTTTTGTTGTTGTCATTGTGTTTTGATGAGAAGCTGCTGAGAGTCTTAAAAACTCTGATGCTGACCAGGAGTTTGGAATAGGATGATGAGTTGTAACACACTGAGATTTTACTAGAAAAGATTAGCCTAGAAATATTATCATTATACAAGAGTGACGTTAAACACTGCTTTTGAGAAGCTACTTTCAAAGATCAGGTCATTATTCCAAAATGTTTTAAAAAATTTTCTTCAGCTGCTTTCAAAACAATGCTCTGGGACGATTCAAGCATCTAGCATAGTATGGGGTAGGCTCTTCCACCCTTAGTCATTCATTCCCACCGGCTGGTATTTTAATTCACATAGCATCATGGGTGTTCTGCCTTCTGTCCAGTCCTGTAAAGCTGTCACACAGAGAAGGCTAATTAACTGGGGCAGACTGGGATAGGCAGTTCTTAAGATTAGTTGGGGGCCAGTGCCGGGGCAGGCAGAAACAGTTGGAGTCATGGGGCACAGGCAACAACATGTTGGAATGGATTCTTCAGTGAGACAGTTCCAGGAGCAAGGCAGCTAGGCCCAGGCAGCTGCAAGCTAGGGGCAGCGTGGTCAAAGCTTCATGAAGGCGTCACACTCAGGCACTGTGCCAGTGTGTGAGAGTGAGATGAGATCAAGGCAGTGAGCCTCCCAGGTCTTGAAGAAGCAGGGTCATCAGGATGGGGCCCTGGCTCCCCAAGATAAGCACTTATCTTAAGGATCAGATGTTCGTGAGTTTATTTAACAAATATTCCTTGAGTATGGACTATGGACCCGGAACCCAGCCCTGGGGTTAGGACAGAGAAGGAAACAGGCCCAAATCCCTACCCTCGTTGAACTTACATTCTAATGGAAGAAGCTGAGAATACACAACATAATAAGTAAGTAAAAGAGATTGTGTGTCGGAGAGTGAAAAAGGGAAGGGGAGAAATCAAGCAGGGAAGGGGGTTATGAAGTTATCAGAAAAAAGAATGAAATTTCAGTTCAGCAGTCAGCGAGGGCCCCACTGAGCAGGTGCCTTTTGAGAAGAGAAATGAACAGGAAAGGAATTCCCGTTACCAGACAGGGCGCAAGAGCGGTGCTGCACTTCCTCACAGCAGGGGTCGTGACGCTGGGACTGGGTCACAGGGTCAGTCGGGCCAGTAACACTGACTGACACGTAGTCACCTGAGGTTGAATCAAAGCTGCTTAAATCCTGGCAGGGATGAGTTCTTATTCATCTTTGTACCCACGGCGTAGAGGACAGGTATCCAATAAATGTTTATTGAGCTGAACGTTTAAATCTCTGAGAACAGGGGTGGGGCTGAGATAAGTGTGGCCCTGTGATTCCTAGGACAGCTATTCTGTCTGGATGACACTTCCGCAAAAGAATGTGCTCATCTTTTTCATCACTTTTCATGACTGTCTTCCTGATCTTTGAGGGCAGGGATTATCTTTCAACCTGTGCCCTGAGCGCACTAAGAGGGAGGGAGCGAAGGAGGAAATCCAGAAGGAGAGAGGCAGAGACGAGGAGAATTAGGACAGGGAAACAAGCAAACCCTGCCCCGTACTTAAAACCCCAAAAGATCTTAATCCAGCCCAATAATGAGGGTGAGTTTAACAAGTTTGAGTTTTACACATTAAAACTGCATCTTGAAACCAAATGATGGTAATAGCTGCACACTTAAAACAAGTGCATTTATGGTACATAAATGATACCTAAATGAAGTTGTTTTAAAACACAGAAGAGAGGGAGGGAGGGAGGGATGAACAGATGGAGCACAAGGAATTTTTAAGGTAATGAAATTATTCTGTATGACACTATAGTGGTGGCTACATGTCCTTATGCAATTTGTCAAAACCCATAGAATGTACAAGATCAAGAGTGAACCCTAATGTAAACTATGGAATTTGGTTGACAATAATTTGTCCATGTTGGTTCATCACTTGTGCCAGATATGCCACACTGATGAGGTAGGTTGAGGGTAGGGAAGTATGAATGTGTGGGTGGGGAGGGCTATGTGGGAACTCTGTATTTTCTGCTCAATTCTGCTGTAAACCTGAAACTGCCCTAAAAAAAAAGTCTATTAAAAAATTTTTTAATAGTAATATTGTGCTGTACACCAGAAATTAACACATTATAATTGACTGTACTTCAATTTTTTTAATTTAATTTAAAAATTTTTTAAAAAACCACTGAAGTAGGAGCCACATTTAGACAGCTTTCAAGTGCTGTCAGTAAGTCAAAGAGGCATTTTTTAAAATTTTTAAACATTATTGAGTTACAGTCATTTTACAATTCTGTGTCAAATTCCAGTGTAGAGAAATTTTTCAGTTATACATGAATATACATATATTCATTGTCACATTTTTTCCACTATGAGTAACCACAAGATCTTGTATATATTTCCCTGTGCTATACCGTATAATCTTGTTTATCTATTTTAAGTATGCCTATCAAAGAGGCATATTTACCCAAATGCATATCATTCTTCCTAATAGATACTTAAACCAAGTTGATTTGTATGAAATAATAGGAAATATATATATGTCTCTGTCCTGGTTCTGGCACAGAGCTCCTAAAACCCTTGTAATTTTCTAAGTGATGAGAACACTAGAAGCATCTTTTGTTTCAGTATTTGGTCTTTGACCCTGGTTCCTGACATCAAGATCCTAAATTCCATTGCACTTCTTGGGTGATAGAAGTGTCTTTTGTTCTAATGAGGTGATCCTGGATTGCTCCTGGATGAGGACTGGTCACCAGAAAGACCAAGCCATGATTAGAAGCTTGGAGTTTTCAGCGCCCACCCCCCTATTCTCCAAAGATGGGAGAAGGGCTAGACATGGAGTTACTGATGGATCATGCCTCAGTGATGAGTTCTTCATAAAATTCCCAAAAGTACAGGGTTCAGAGCTGCCAGGTTGGTGACCATGTGGATTTGCTGGACAGTGGTGGGCCTGGAGAGGGCATGGAAGCTCTGTGCTCCTTCCAACACACCTTGCCCTATGCATCTCTTCCATCTGGATGTTCAACTGTGTCCTTTACTGTATCCTTTTTATAATAAACTAGGAAACAGTAAGTAAATGGTATTCCTGAGTTCTGGGAGCTGCTCTAGCAAGTTAATCAAACTCAAGGAGAGAATCTCTGATTTACAGCTGAATGGTCAAAAGCACAGGTGACAATCTGGACTAGTGACTGGTGTCTAAAGTTGGGGAGGAGGCAGTCTTTTAAGACTGAATCCTTAGCCAGTGGGATCTGAGGTTAACTCCAGGTAGATAGTGTCTGAACTGAGTTAAATTATAGGACACCCAGCTGGTGTCACAGAGAATTACTTGTCGTGGGAAAACATATGCACATTTGGTGACCGGAAGTGTCAGAAGTGAAGTTTCTGTGTGAAAGGAAAGGAAAAACATGCGAGAGGAGGAGTACATTTTTCTTTCCCAATTTGCAAATTTACTTTTCCTTTATGTGATTTTTGCCACCTTATAGTATATATAGTCTTTTGAAAAGTATTTTAAAAAAGACCTTCAAGTACGTATAATCTAAGATAGGTTACGGTAATGATTGCTAAAAATAATGCACATTTCCAGACTGGTTTTTATTTGGGGGGGGCCCTACATAAACCAATCTCAACAGACCAATTATTCTGATAAGGTGTTCTACATGAGAGAGCTACCATATTTAACACAGTGTCGAATCTCTTACCTATTTAGAACTAGGTATTATCTAAAGACAATGGGGGAGTGGGTATAGCTCAGTGGTAGAGTGCATGCTTAGCATGCACAAAGTCCTGGGTTCAATCCCCAGTACTGCCACTATAAAATTAATTAATAATAAAGACAATGAAGCCTCATCTAAAACAAAATACTGAAGTATTCTGGAAATCCCAAAGGATTTCATAGGAAGCATATCTAGATTGCTGTTCTAAAAGAGACGATGGGCTGAACAAAGCCATCTCTCTTCTTTTTTAACCTCATCTTTGATAAGTACAACACACATTCAGAACATGCAAACTGCTGGTTAGAATTATGTGCCCATAAGCAGGGGTGACAGTCAACAGCTGTAGGAGTAGGCACCCACCAATCAATCTGGATGAGGATGTACACAATATGGCCATTTCAGTGTGTCCTGGCTAAATGTCAGCTTGCACTATGATGGCATGGTCCTCTGGACACCCTCCTCAGCAGCGGGTATCCGCTGCTTTCTCATCACATTTGTACAGTTTGGGGTTGAGTAAGCACCTCACTCCTACCAGTAAGCCTTTGCTATAAGTATAGTAGAGGGAACTCATTATAAACTGAACTCCAGTCCTTGTACAATCAACGTGAGACACTGTTCTCATTGCCTAGTGGGTTGGAGTGATCACAACTGATCAGCCAGGGAAGGACTGGGATGTGGAGCTCCTGTCTTACCCCATGGTCCCTCACCTCCATCATCTATCCTGTTATCTTTCCTGCTGCTCCAGCTCCCAGTTAGTGCAAAAGCACAGCTTTGAGATAAAAGGAAAAAAGAATGAGGAAGTTCCACCACCATTTTTTAAGACCCAAGTCTGGATCCAATGCTTGCCCTGTGGGTCCCGCAAACTGGCTCCAGACACTCCAGGATCCATTATTCTATAGTTCGACCCCAGCCTTCATCTTACTCAAGTTGACAGGGCACCCCTGTACCTGCTTCAGGTCTGGACTTCACCTCACCCATTCCCTTCTCCCCACTGTCCCCACTCTTGGCCACTTCCTGCCCTAATCATTCAAACTCAAGGGAACCAAACATCTGTTTCTGTGCTGCTGGATCCAGAGGATCAAGTCAGAGCACCCTCTAGTGGTGAGGAGGAGCAACGACACCATTGACATCACCCAGAGGTCAGACCTTTTAGAGGTCAGTGAAGGACAATACTGAATAGGACATTCTTCACATACTTTCTACCTCTTCCTGCTTTAATGTCTTTCCTATGCTGTTACTTTCCAGTGAGTGGAGAGTGCTGGGAGGGTGGCTGGAGTAAACCACCCCCACCAGATCCTAAACTACCTTCTCTTCCTATCCTTCCCTTCATGGTGTCCACAGCATTTTGATATGTTCACATATTCGGCTGTTTTAGCGTCTTTATCTTTTGAAGAGGGCGATGTTCTGTCGGAGTTCCGCAGGTGCTCTGGTTGGCTGAGTGGGTCTGTAGATGTGGGTCTTGGTGTATTTGTGGGAGAGGGTGACTTACGAGCGTCCTTCTACTCCGCCATCTTGCCTCTTCTCTATATTCGGCTGTTTTAAAGAACACAGAATATTCTGCCACAGGGCAAGGGAACTACAGGATATCAATCAAGTCCAAAATCAGTAAATAACAATAATCCCTTTTTGGTTAGTGAACAGTTATTGAGCCTGTGCAGAGATGGTGTCACTGACAATTACCTGTGGTATTTCTGTTCATCCTCAAAGGAACCTTAGCAGCAGTGTGACCATCCTCACTTTACAGATGAGGACACTGATGCCTAGGCAATGTAAGCACCTCGCCCAAACTGACATGACCAGTAAATGGTGAATATGAACTTGACACAGGTCAGCCAAACCCAAAGTACCGCCCCAGAATCTCTGCACCGAGATTCCACCCATCAACCACAGGATGCTGGCAGTTCCATTTGACTTGACTTAAAGGCATCTCATTCTCTTCCAAGCCTCTCCTACTATAGCTCAGGGTCAGCAAGAGGCTTCTAAGCCTGACACTGTGGCTCTCAGTCCTGCAGGGCCTCAACAACTTCCCACCCCCAAGATTTCAAGCAGATCTGCTCTCTCTTATCCGCACTCTCACTGTTTCTCTGTGCAGCTACATGACCCACATTTATAATTGCCAATCTCCAAAGATTCAGTGCTTTCAAAGTTTCCAAGGGAGTTTTCATCTCTGCTTCTCACCCTGACCCTCTGTCTCTTCAGAGCTCACTCAGTAATTTCCCCAACCAGATTCATTTTTATCTTCCGTGAATGAAACCAAGCAGGACCCTGTGGGGCCCTCCTGGGTACAAATCCTTTCCGAGTCTCCCCCTCCCCATTTCCTGTTTGTAGGAAATGGGTTTCATTCAGCCTCCTAGACCTTCCCTGAGTTCCAAAGGGAAGATTCAGTTGCTAATCAGGAAAGGGAGAGCATGCAGAAACAAAGGAGGAACAATCAAGAAACAATAGTGTAGCCTTGGGGCAGGTCCTGGGTCCTCCTCAAGAAATATATATAATAATATATCTTTGAGTTCTTTTACAGGAACTAAGGCCCCCACCCAGGTGAAGGATGGCAAATTTAGGCTGAGCACAAGATTCCTGGAACACTGCCCTGTTACCTCACCTCCAACCAATCAGAAGAAAGTCACATGCCCTGCAGCCCTCACCCTAAACTTTACCTATAAAAACTTACCCGCCATACCTGCGCCCCGCAAACCATCCAGGAGTTTGGGTTCCAAGTACCTCCACATAAATAAATAAATAAACAAGCAAACAAATTCCACCATTTGGGTTTGCTTAGCCTCACTCTGACAACTTGTGTCCTCACGACCCATTGTTCTTTCATTTAGCACTTCCTGCAATCTGCCTTACATCATTGCTTTTCACATATATACAACATCAGTAGGTGAAGGCATATAAAACCAACAAACTGACTTCCCTGATGCAAAACTGTTTGCTGATTCATCCTTTATTGTGAATGACTTTAATCCAGAGGCTGTGCTCCAGGAAGGAGATAACAGGCTAATACTCTCAGAAGGATGGACAGACCCTCCAGAGTTCCTCCTGAAGATGCACTGAGGTTAAGAGGAATGTAGCACCCTGTAAAATGCTGTGATTGTTATCATCTTTTCTGTTTTTCTGTAAAACCTCAAGCCCCTAGCCCCAAGATGGGCTCACAGTCTTTAAGGCATGAGCCTGCAATGACTCCCCTTTGCCGGGAGAAGCAATAAAACTGCTCTTTCCTTTGCTCTCAAAACTCTGCCTCCAAGTTTGAATTTGCTTTTCAGGGTGCAGAGGCTGATTTTTCAGCAACATAGGACCCTAAAGACTGGAAATCTTCTTTATTCACCTTATCCACCCAGTACACACACAGCCCACAGCATCATGCAGAATAGAATGCCCATGGCCTGCACATAGTCATTGCTTAATAAATGTTCATTTGAAATGACTTAAATGGGAGTTTCTTTTGTCCTTTACAGAGTGATGCTCCCTGCAACCTTGTCAGGGGATATTCTCTACGTTATTTCTTCACAAATCTGTTACAACCCAGTTACTCCAGCTCAGCAAGAGAGGATTTAGGGTTATTTCCAAATCCATTAAAATAAAGACTTTGGGAGGCGGATGGATGTGGGTAGGGTAAAGAGTTAAGACACAACCTGAGGATTCTCACTCTGGGCTTTACAAGAATACAGATTTCCCAACAGCTATTCTTAACAATGGTATGGGTTGAAATGTGTTCCCTCAAAATTCATATATAGGAGAATTAAGTGTTGGGCCAACTGACGTCCTTCAAAGTCCAATGACCCTCATTCCTAGGCTCACTGATGCCTGACATTCTTTACTAGGCATGTTTCCCCAATCAAACCAACAGTGAGACAGGAAGGGGGCAGGGCACAGCCTTTCAAGGAATGCTACAGCAATTAACATCAAAATGGTGAAAGATTCAACCCCCAGGAGGCCTTGAGGTTCAGAATGATGAGAGATTTAACTTCTAGTGGATCTTGAGCTTCATTATAGCTCATTGTAATATGCTAACATGGTGAATAACACACCCACAGGCACCATGGCAGTCCCAAGGCTGGCCTCAAAAGGTCAAAGAGTGGGAAATGGCCAACTTCCTGGGAATCCCGGCCCCTTTCCCAGGATACTTAGACTGGTCCTTCCACTTATTAGCATATGAAGCCACCAAGCCCATAAAAACTAGCAACACGGTGTCTCGCAGCTGCCTCTCTCCTACGGCCCACACTCTGTCTATGGAGTGTGTACCTATTTTAAATCTGAGCACCCAACCCCCACACCTCGTGGCCTTTCTCTTGCCTTTCAATGTATCTCTCTGAATAAATCTACCTTTACTCAACTGTGGCTCACTCTTGAATTCTTTCCTGCACGAAGCCAAGGACCCACACTTGGTGGGGCACGTCCCAGGGGCTCAACCGAAGCCTAGGACACAGCCCTCCTCATGCCTCACATCTGTTTTCCTGCATCAATAGCCCCAGGTAATGCCTGCCTTTGCAGAGTCACAGACCCCACCGCCCTTCATGGACCCTAAATCTCTTACCTCACCTACAAGAAATCAGAGACTTGTGCATAAGCCTATCAGGCACCTTGTGACCTGACCTGATAAAAGACCCCAACAACGGCCCTCGGGGCTCATGCAGGCACCCCTCGCCTGTGTGGCCGCTGTTGCCTATGATAGTGCACCCTAAAAAACTCCTTTCTATCCCCATACTTTACCTCTGGTGAATTCTTTTACCACCCATGAGTCACCATGTCACCACCGGTCCCCGTTGTGCCCACAACAACAATATCTAAGTGCCGTTTATTTCCTGAGTACATACCTGTATTAGGTAAGCTAAAGAAGACAGCCCAGCAATTGTGCATTCACATGTACAATGGAAGACAATTACCCTACACGTATGAGTAATGACAGCTACCATTCATGAGCACTTATTGTATGTGTCCATAATGAGATCATGATCAATACAACAGTGTGTGTAATCACTTGTTTTTTTGTTTTCGTTGAATTTTAGGCATTTTTATATATTCTGAATTTTAATCCCTTATCAAAAATGTGATGTACAAATATTGCCTCCCATTCTGTGGGGAGACTTTTCACTCTGCGGATAGTGTCCTTTGATACACAAAAGAGAAATAGCATTTATTTTGGAGGAATCTCTAAATAATATGGAGAGCCCATCTGTTCTCCAAAATCTATCCCTGAATTAAGTCAGATGAGAAGAGCAGAGCAGAGCTAGACATCTATTTGATTCAAGATATTCCCCATTATTCACTCATTCACCCATTCAGCACATATATACTGAGCCCCTCTCATGTAACAAGCCTTGAATTGTGCGTTGACACTGTGTGAGGTACATTAAAAGAACTGGCCCTGGGACATGTTGCTGGGTTCACAGTGTAGATGTCACCAGCAGTGCTGTTCCCTAAAGAACCTTGTACCATGTCCCAGTTAGGAAGACCCAAGAAACAGACTTCCCTGTGGTGTCCTATCAGGACTACCCATACGTCTCCCTTAGCTCCGATCGTGGATCCCATGCATCTTATAACTGGTCATTCCTCCCTCCTCACAGTGGCTGCTGGAACATCTTAAAGCCACATTTGTGAGCAACTTCTGGTAGGTAAATTGGACATCCTGGCATGCATTCTAATGTAACAAACTCCGTCCCTCTCCATCTTAACTTCCTAACTGTATTTTTCCTTTGCCTCATTAAAAAGCTACCTATCTTCTTCCATTTGAGTCATCTTTTATGCTGCCTTAAATTCTTTTTAAAACAGTAAAACAAAAGTAACATAAATAAATAATCAAACATTTTTGCTCGCTTTCGGTACCTCCTATATAATTGGTAGGGCACAACACAAAATGAAAATGTGCACTTCTTGCCCCAAAGTTATTAAGAATCTCAAGATGGCAACAGCAGAATGTTAAGCCAAGTATTGAAGTCTTCAGAGTGTAAGGGCCCTGTGTGACTGCACAGATCACATGTCCATGAAGGTCACACATCCATGAAGCCAGCCCTGCCAACTCTTGTAATCCTCAAAAACATGGGAAATAGACACCATTTATAATAAACCTCCCACTTCATAATGATATCATGTTCACTTATCAAAATTTGTTCAAGAACCAGTTAAGGCCCAATTTGCATTGTGTACATTTTGCATGGGAAAATAAAGAGGCAGAGAGATGGGAAAATTAAAGATGTCTTTGGAGATTATATATAACTAAAAGTAATCATTTCTACGAGCTTCTAGATGGTCAGCTTCTTGGTTCACATATCTCTGGTTCATCTTGCATTTCCCCGCAGATCCATACTGTCCTACAATAGGAACTCCAACGTTTGCTGGCCAGCTTAGATGGATGGCGTTGGAAGCAGAAGGTATGAATTTAGGAAATAGAAAAAAAGGTTAGGAAAGTACTTTGGGTTTCAACCTGAGGATGTCTAGAGTGGTAGACTCAGTCTGGTAGGAAATGAAAAGCAGGACAATTTTGGAGGAAGATTGTGACTTAGTAAAGCTGATCTGGCCCCAACGTAGAGGATGAATTGGAGGGCAGAGATACTGGAGGCAAGAGGCTCAGCTAAACAGCCATTACCCAAAGCCCACAAAGGTGATTAGGAGCTGAATTAGACCGGGAGCTGCAAAAGTGTGATAATCATAGTAACTGTACCTACTTCTTCACAGTCATCGCACCTTTTCACACCACTGTTTCATTTGCTTCTTCAATCATTCTGCTAGGAATGCTTTTATCACATTTCATAGAATTGCAAATTGATTCTCAGAAGGTGTGAGTGATTTCCCCAGATCAGCGTAATTAAAGCACAGGTCAGCATCAGCTCCCAAGGCAATGCTTTTTCTCATCCCCCAGTGGAGCACCACCTGACTACATATTAGAATCTCGGGATGAACTTTATAATAATAAGGTGTTTTTTCGGCTCCACCCCAGACAGTCTGATATAATTGGTCTTGAGTGAGGCCCAAGCAAGGGAGTTTTTAAAAGCTTTCCAGGGATTCTAATTTGTAGCCAGGCTGAGAACCTCTCGGCAAGATCAGGACCACTTAGGGTGGGAGTTCTGGCTGAAAACAAGAGACCATAGGGAGGCAAAATGGATGAGACTTGACAACTAATTGCAGAAAGACACCAATGGGATGACAAGGTTTTTAGCCTCCCTATTACGTTACCATAAAAATACAAACTGTTTAGAAGAAACAGAAATTAGAACCATACATATTAAAACTTAAGGTGTTTAACCAAAATTGTACCCAGAAACAAATTTGAAAATTTTAAAGCCTCTTATTACTGTTGGGGTAGGGACAGAGCTCAGTGGTAGAGCACGTGCTTAACACGCATGAGGTCCTGGGGTCAATCCCCAGTACCACCATTTAAAAAACAAACAAACAAACAAACAAAAACCTCACTGTTATTCAAGAAAATTTGAAAAAAGAGTATATAATCATTTGAATCTGGAAGCTAGGGAAGGATCATGTGATACCTACAATAAAGAAAAGAAAGAAAATAATAGAGGCAAAAATCCCAAAATAATAAGATTAGGGACTGGTCAACAAAATCAAGAGCTTTATTTACATTTAGGGAAAAAATAAGCAAAATAGGTCATGTCTGGCAAATTAAATGAAGACAAAAATAGAAACAGCACAAATTTAGAAATGATAAAGTACAACAACTAAC